CCCTTTCTGAGAACCATCCATGGTAGAGTCATAGAATCCCCAAAGACTACTTAGGTCGGTCCTCCCCACATATAGCTGCATGTCTGGAGAATGTAGAGAACTTAAAAAAATTCCTGGGTCTCAACCAACATCTAAAAATTTAGAATCTCTGAAGGTAAGACCCAGAGAGGTTGTGGGGTTTGTTTTTATATATATATATATATACTTTTATAAAAGTGTGGGGTTTGTTAGTATATATATATATATACTTTTATAAAAGTATATATATATATATATATACTTTTCAGGCAGTTCTGATGCACATCTATGTCTGGAAGCCCCTTGTCTTATTCAGTCCTTTTTTTGGTACTCCCCTCTACAGGATTTTGCCAAATGGTTGTCTATCCCTTCTTGTACTCCTCTAGGGATGGGGGACTCACTGCCTTTCAGAGCAGCCCCTCTATCCTTCCTTAGCCAGCTCTGCTTTGTCAGGAAGTTCTTTCTCTGCCCCCTGTAACTTCCCCTGGACTCCACAGATGCCTGTCTTTGTCCTTTGGAAATTTGGAGGGCACAAACTTGTCCCAAGAGTGGACACCCCAGTTCCTTCAGCTGTTCCTCCCAGGACACAGCCTTCAACCTCTCCCCACAGGGCTACTTCCTGTCTGCCACTGGCCTCTCACACCTGCCACAGCTTTCCAAGGGGTCGTGAAAACTGATACTCCTTTTGTCGTGGACTCACTGCTTCTACCAATGAGGCTGTTAATAATTGACTGAATAAGTATTAAGTCAGTCCATCACGGAGTGCCAAGTGCCCAAGGGGTGCTAGGTTGGCCATGTGCTGTGGGAGAGGCAGAAGGGACGTTGCAAGGGACTACACGGTTGTGGGGGGAGCCAGAGGAAAACATGAACATAGCCGTGGCAAGACACGAAACGCACTGCTTTTAGTGGACAACTCTATTTTGCGGCAAGGACTGTAAACATCCTAAGGACGACATGGTCACAACAGATTCCAAAGAGATGTAGCTTAAGGAAACAACAATGTCCATCAGCCAGGTTCAAGCAGGAAAACGTGAACACTAAAAAATGTGCAGAGGTAGGGATTTAATATGGAGAATTGCTGGAAGGGCTGGAGGGAGAAGCAGGACAGATTCCCAGCACAAGATGGACATGACCCATCAGTCTCCTTACTGTCTGAGGCCACCTCTGGAGCTAGTTAGCTGCAGACACACCCCTGCAGCCATGATTCAAAAAGCACGTGGTCAGAGCGTAGCGGTGGCAGCCCCAGCTGCCACCCCATTTCCAGGAAGCTAGAGAAGGGATGAGGAACAGGAATGCAGGAAATCCTCACAACCCACCATCCTGTCAGTGATGCCCCCAAAGGGGCACGACAATACCCTCCGCCCTCCACATCTGACAGGGGTACTGCTAATCAGAAGCACCTAGTTCACTCCAGAGCTCTAGCTGCAAACAAGGTGGGAAACAGCTCTTAACTTCCCATGGCCTCCAAGCAGAAGGAAGGTGCAGTGGAGGCGGGGTGAGTCGGAGATGTGTGGTTAGCATGCTTTATGGCAATGAAATGGACACAATCTAAATGTACACCCACGGTCTACCCTACCACTTCGGAGAGGATGATGTTGCCTTTTAATCAACATGACATGAGAAAAGGTTCATAATAAATCACTAAGTTAAAAAAAAAGAAAAAGAAAAAGAAAGCAGGCAGCAAAATAGAGGTCACCATATAATTTCTTTTTGATTAAATGAATTTTTGAAAAATACGAAGTTAAAAATACTGGCAAGATAAATGACAACTTTTGGGTGAAAGGAGTGAAGGTATTTTTTTTCCCTAAAGGTCAAAAGTATAATTTCATAATGATGTAAGGTCAATACATATGTCATAAAATCATAAATATGTATGTACCTGATACATGAAGCAAAGACTGATGGAATTAAAAGAAGAAGTAGATCCACAATCGTCACAGATTTTAACATTTTTCTCAGAAATTGACAGAAAAACTGGATTGAAGGTATTTGAAAAATTCTTGCAACCTTTTCCGTGTTTTCCAAGCTTCCTACGTTGTGCATATATTTTTTGTCCTAGGACAAAAAAACCGCATTTTTAAAAAAATCACACAAAATCTTAAAGGTGCAGGGGAGGGAGCGGGGCGCGAAGAGCAGCGAAGGTGGAAGACAGAGAGAGGGGAAGCACAGAGGGGTCAAGGAGAGGCTCCAGGATGAGGACCTAACAAGGTGCAGCTTATGGAGAAGTGCAAACTAACTGGAGCGCTAACTCTGTGACCCGGGGAAGGCCTGCCCCATTCTGGGTCTTTGTTTCCGCTCCCAAACGAGCGCCTTAGGACCGCAGCTTGAGCGGCGGAGCAAAAAAGGCGCTCCGGCGTGCCGGGAGATCCGGGGCCCGGGGGAGGGGGGTGGCTGGGACCCGGGCAGCGCGGGCGGGGGGGCACTGCTCCCCACCCCCAGCTCCGACGCGCCCGCGCCTGGGGGGAGGAGCGGCCTTGGCCTCGGGCCGCAGATAGGCGACGCCCAGGACGCAGGCGGAGCCTCTCGGCGGCTGAGCCGCTGCGCGGAGGCGGGACCTGCGGCGAGCAAGCGGCGGGAGGCTGGGCTAGAGCTGCGAGAGCCTGAAGCTGCGCCGGAGCTCGAGCCCGCCGCAGGTAATTAGCGCCCTTCTCCCTCGGCCCCCAGGCAGGCCGCGGCTCCCCTCCCTGCGATGGAGGCTACCTCTCTGGGTCTCCGCTTTCCCATCTGGGGACTGGCCCTTCAGCCGGGCGTGCGCTGTGGGACCCTCTCCAGGCTAACAGCCTTGCGCCTGCACCCGGGTGCCTGGGTGGTTCCTGTTGGGCTCAGAGGACGCAGACCCCCCTGAAACCTTACCTTCTTAGCTCGACCTCATCGCCCCTGCCCATCCAGCCCACTCCAGCAGAGAGCCCCTCACTGTAGCTGAGAGGCCAAGACACGGGTCACCTCCCTGCAGAAAGGGTGAGGTTGGTGCCATTCATACTGGATGATTCCGAAGGTCCGGTTCTTGGCACAGTGGACACTAATACTGGGATCCATAAGAAATTGCCCATGGCGCCTGGGTGGCTCAGTCGTTAAGCGTCTGCCTTCGGCTCAGGTCATGATCCCAGGGTCCTGAGATCGAATCCCACATCGGGCTCCCCGCTCCGCGGGAGGCCTGCTTCTCCCTCTCCCACTCCCCCTGCTTGTGTTCCCTCTCTAGCTATCTCTCTCTCTGTCATATAAATAAATAAAATCTTAAAAAAAAAAAAAAAAGAAATTGCCCATGGTCAGGAGAAAACTCAAAGCTAGAGCTAGGGCTATGGGAATCCGGGTTGAGGCTCTTATTTTTACTTGCTGTGTGTCCTCTGTGAGCCCACAGACCTCTCTGATTCCCAGCCTTCTTCCAGAATGGGGGTCATGATCATCTACCGCAGGGGTTACTGGGAATCTCCGTGACTTAACTGCTAAGAAAATGGCCTGCAAACTGTAAAGTGTGGTGTGCTGTGATCTTACAAATACAAGTGAAGGCTCCAAGCACAGACCCCTTTTAAGCCCCTAGAAGAGGAACAGCCTTGGCTAAGCATGAAAGATTTGCCAGCCTTGGTCTATGACTATCTCTCTCACCTGTTTAGCCCCTCCATCCCCCACCTCTCCATGGATTGGTTACCCCCACTTAACCTCCCCTGGGATCCCTCCCTCCTCAGATCCAGGCCTTTGGACCCAAAGCTGCTTCTGTCCCAGCATGGGACAGAGCTCTGAGCAGAATGGAAACTGAGTGCACCCCTGACAGGTCTGCTGGCTCAACTACCCTCCAAGGTAGGGTTTTCTTGGGCAGCACTGATTTGTATGAAGCTGGGGGACCTGGCTGGGGCTTTGCTTTCCAGGATGCCCAGTGGCAGAGGGTGGGGGGTGGAGAAGCCAGGTGCAATTCCTTTTGGCTTCTGGGTGGGTCAAGACTCAAGTGAGACAGAAAAGATGGAGGGATTGATGTCCTGGCTGAAGAGTAAGAGTTTCAATGAATCTAGGAATTTAAGACACCATTTACATTTCATTGAATACATTTTATATACTGTTTAAATTTTATAATTGTTGTTTTAAATAAAGTCTGCACTGTTTCAGAGTCGTAGGGAAGAATAAACAGGCCCTTCTTTCCAGTGGCTTCCAGACTTGCTGCGCTCCTGGGAAGCTGAGACCTATGTCCCCGGGGGCCGGGCTAGGCTGGTTTCTAAGGGCGAGCCAGTTCTGATGGGCTGGGCGGACGGTCTCCAGGCTTTTAAGTGCACGGCCCCATTCAGTGTAACCCCATGAGGCCTTTCACATAAGAGGAAACTGAGGCACAGAGGGGAAGTGAAGCAAACCCTTGTCTCAGAGACAACTCTGTCTCTCAGTCCCTTTGGTTTCTACTCCATTGTGAGGTCAAATTGTGAACAGTGTTTGTGGAAGTTTTGATGTATGTCACTGAATACAACCGAATAACTCTGTAGCAGGCATACTTCGGGGCATCAGGGACACAGCAATGAACGAACCAGGAAAAAAAAAATGCCTGCCGTCTCAGAGTGGATGTTTAATTGGGGAGAGGCAGACAAGAAACAAATACGTGTGTAAATATACTCTCTGGTGTGTCAGATGGGGAGAAATAAAGCACAGGAATGGGGGACAGTGTGCTGGCAATGAGAAAAGTTGCAGTCCTGTAATTTTTTTAAAGGGCAGTCAGGGAAGGCCTTGCTGAGCAGGTGACATTTGATCCAAGACCCAGAAGAGGTGAGGGAGTGAGCTGGAGGGTAGATGGGACATGAGGGAGTTGGAACCAGAGAGTTCTTTAGGGCCATTGCCCCATACCCCCAGCCCTGACGCACCCATGCCTTTGTACTGCTTACAATCCACATTGTTAGAGGTGGCACCCCTTTACGCTAGCATCTTGGAACGTCTGAGGTGGCGGGCCTTTGGGGGACCACTTGGCCCGCTCTCACCTGTTCACTCTGGTTCCTCCTGTCCCCCTCCAGAGTCATAAACATGCTGCGCTTCCTGGTGCCCCGGTTGCTTTGTCTCCATGGCAGGACCGCCCCGTACTCTTCTGCAGCGGCCCTTCTGAACCCCATCCTGAACCCAGACATCTGCTACAACCAGCTGTTCATCAACAATGAGTGGCAAGATGCAGCCAGCAAGAAGACCTTCCCCACAGTCAACCCCGCCACGGGAGAGGTCATTGGCCACGTGGCTGAGGGGGACTGGGCTGACATGGATCTGGCAGTGAAAGCAGCCCGCGAGGCCTTCCGCCTGGGGTCTACATGGCGCCGGATGGATGCCTCAGACCGCGGCCGCCTGCTGAACCGCCTGGCCAACCTGGTGGAGCGGGATCGTGTCTACCTGGCCTCCCTGGAGACTTTGGACAATGGGAAGCCTTTCCCGGAGTCTTATGCCTTGGACCTGGATGAGGTCATCAAAGTATACCGGTACTTTGCTGGCTGGGCTGACAAGTGGCACGGCAAGACCATCCCATGGATGGCGAGCATTTCTGCTTCACCCGCCATGAGCCTCTTGGCGTCTGCGGCCAGGTAATCCCATGGAACTTCCTCTTGGTCATGAAGGGCTGGAAGCTCGCCCCAGCGCTGACCACCGGCAACACTGTGGTCATGAAGGTGGCAGAGCAGACCCCCCTGTCTGCCTTGTACTTGGCCTCCCTCATCAAAGAGGCGGGCTTTCCCCCGGGGGTGGTGAACATCATCACTGGGTATGGCCCCACAGCGGGCGCAGCCATCGCCCAGCACATGGATGTCGACAAAGTTGCCTTCACCGGCTCTACTGAGGTGGGCCACCTGATCCAGAAGGCGGCCGGCGATTCCAACCTGAAGAGAGTCACCTTGGAGCTGGGTGGGAAGAGCCCCAGCATCGTGCTGGCCAATGCGGACATGGACCACGCCGTGGAGCAGTGCCACGAAGCGCTGTTCTTTAACATGGGCCAGCGCTGCTGTGTGGGCTCCCGGACCTTTGTCGAAGGATCCATCTATGACGAGTTTCCTGAGAGAACCGTGGAGAAGGCTAAGCAGAGAAGGGTCGGGAACCCCTTTGAGCTGGACACCCAGCAAGGGCCCCAGGTGGACAAAGAGCAGTTTGAATGAATCCTGAGCTACATCCGGCTTGGCCAGAAGGAGGGGGCAAAACTTCTCTGCGGCGGGGAGCGTTTTGGGGAGCGCGGTTTCTTCATCAAGCCCACGGTCTTTGGTGGCATGCAGGATGACATGAGGATTGCCGGAGAGATCTTCGGGCCTGTGCAGCCCTTATTTAAATTCAAGAAGATGGAGGAGGTGATCGAGAGGGCCAACAACACCAGGTATGTCTTGGCTGCTGCCGTGTTCACCCGGGACCTGGACAAGGCCATGTACTTCACGCAGGTGCTCCAGGCCGGCACAGTGTGGGTAAACACCTACAACATTGTCACCTGCCACACGCCCCTTGGAGGGTTTAAGGAATCTGGCAATGGGAGGGAGCTGGGGGAGGATGGGCTTAAGGCCTACACGGAGGTGAAGACCGTTACCATCAAGATTCCTCAGAAGAACTCGTAAGAATGGCTGCCACAGGGACCCACCTCCAGTCCAGAGTTTCCATAATCACCTAGACCATGGTTGCCAAATAGTTTTTTAGCCTCGGACCCTACTTTATTTGTTCCAAATGAACTCTTAGAGGGAAGCTCAGCAAATAAAGCAATTAAAATGAGAACTGCTCTTGTTAAAGCAGGACTGGGGACTGGACTCAAAAGTCCTATCCACCTGTGCCTCGGCCCCAGCCTCCTTGGTGGCCCTGAGTTACTTCCATGAAATCTTGGGAGTCTCTGGAAAATAGATTAAAAACCACTGATCTGGACAGTGGCTTTTAGTTCTTTCTTCTGATCTGAGGACTTCCCCATGTATTAATCTAATGGCTTAGTAGATGGACTCAGTTCAGACATAGGATCGGGAGGCATCAGGAGTTTCAAACTAGGTGGATGCCAGATCTTGGCCCCATTCTTCAATGACTTAACCCCAAAATCAAGGATGCTTCTCCTTTTTTAAGTACCAGTTGCCAGCTGTTTTGCTTGCTTACCCTGCATTTTGCTACTGATTATCATTACTTTGAGGGAAAAAGTGGGCAAAGAATGCATTTATCTTTTTTTTAATTATTTATTTATTTATTTGAGAGAGAGAGAGAGAGAGAAACAGCATGAGAGGGGATAGGGTCAGAGGGAGAAGCAGGCTCCCCGCTGAGCCGGGAGCCTGATGTGGGACTCGATTCCAGGACTCCGGGATCATGACCTGAGCCGAAGGCAGTCGCTTAACCAACTGAGCCACCCAGGCGCCCAAAGAATGCATTTATATAACCACTCCTTTAAAATAAACTCAAACAACCCGAGTGTCCATTAGCTAGTGAGTGGGTAAATAAAATGTTTCCATGGAATATTCCCTGTGCTAGTCAGCCATAAAAAAGGAATGAAGTGCTGATACATGAGGCAACATGGATGAACCTTGAAACCTTAGGCTGAGTGAGAGAAGCCAGACATACATACAAGGCCACATATTGTATGATTCCGTTTATATGAAATGTCCAGAATAGGCAAATCCAGAGACAGAAAGTACATTGGCGGTTGCCAGGTGTTGGGGGAGGAGGGAATGAGGAGTAACTGCTAATGGGTATAGGATTTCTTTTGGGGAGGTTTCAAAGGGTTCTGAAATTGGATAGTAGTGATGATTGCACGACTTCGTGAATATACTGAAAAGTACTGAATTGCACAGTGATTCACATAAAAGGGTGAATTTTATGGTGTGAATTAATTTCAGTTAAAAATTAAATAAGAGATACCCATACATTATTTGACAGTCAATTTTTTTAATCAATATTCTCTTACAACTGAAAATTTTAGAGTCTTGGGGATGGAAGGGACCCAGGTAGTCATCTAGTCAGGTGCGAAAGTCCTCTCCCCAATATATTTCTAGTTGCATTTTTGTTTTCTCTCAGCTGGGTGACAAAGTGCAACTTTAAGGCCCACAGAGAAAAGCCTTGGTTCCTGCCTAGAGCAAGTCCATCTGAGTTCCCATTTCGGACCTTCCACACTGTCCCCCAGCCCCTACCCAAACACACCACCCCTCAAGCAGAGCCCAGCATCAGGGCCATTCTGACATGCTAGGGGTTTCCAGAATTTTATTTATTTGTTTTTATTTTTTAAAGATTTATTTGAGAGAAAGAGGGCACGTGTACTTGTTCATGTAAGCGGACTGGGGGGTGGGGCGTTGCAGGAGAGGTGGAGAGAGTGAAGCAGACTCCCTGCTGAGCACAGAGCCTGACACAGGCTGATCTCAGGACCCTGAGATCATGACCTGAGCCGAAATCAAGAGTTGGATGCTCACCCCACAGCTACCCAGATGCCCCAGTTTCCAGAATTTTAAACCTCAGAGTTCAGTGTATTCACTGTTAGTCTCCTGACTTCATTCCCCATCTGAAGGGAGTAAATCCAAGCCAGCCAGACCATGGTACAGAAATAAGGCTGATCCTTTCTCTTCTTGTCTTCCATCTTTCTAGACCATGTTGCTCACGAATTACCACACTTCTCGGTCCACTCAGTCTTGGGAATGCACAGCTTTGGTCATCTCTTTAATGTCCTGTTATCTCACCGAGGCATCAGGATGATTTTGTTCTGTGTCTTCAGGAGTGGACCCGAAACTGCTTCCTGAGGACTTGGGGTCTATTTGGGACCGTCATCTCCCCTTCCTAGGCCCTCCTTTTTGTACCATTAGTCTAAGCCTGGGGTGACCCTGGCTGTCCCCCAAAGGGCATCTTTTATCCCTTTCTCTTGGAGGCTCTTGGCACCTTTGCATAGTAGGCAAGTTTCTTCCCAACAGCCTGGGGAGGGGTGGAGGTGGGAGGGAGCGGGCAGCTGGGTGGGTGGGGTCTCTGACCACTGAGAAGCAACATCCCGGTGTATTCACAGCTCCACTCATCTGCTTCTCAGTACTTCTAAACCAAGAGAACCTTTTAAAGGCTCAGTGTGGGTGGGACTACAAAAAGACAATCGTCTAGGTCCCTCGCTTTGGTCCCTAAAATTCTGAGACCGATGAGTCAGACAGGTCAGATTCTTAGTCAGCTGAGCCTGGAGGCCCCTCTGTCCTCCTTCGTTGCTCTCACTGAGGGAGGTGTGAGCAGGAGGTTGACCTGGGACAAGCTTACACCAAGGGCTTACTCTGTGGAGCATGATCTCTGCCAGTTGTCTTTACATGCCACTGAAGCCTCATAATCCCATAAAGTAGGCAGTGGGGTGACCCTCTTTTTAGATGAGGAAGTCGAAGCTGAGAGGATTAGCACGCAGCCCATTTGGGCTCAGTTTTTCATATGCATACACGAGGGGCCAGCAAGGGGAGAGCATCTAATCACACTTCAAGAAGCCTCGAGAGCCCACAGCAGGACAAGCCCCTACACCCTGCTTCTCTGCTGGACCCACCAAGGCTTCTGATCAGATCCCGGATCCCAGGCCTTTTAAAAGAACTCTAGTTTGGGTTGGCTCTATTCTGGGTGTGAGCCTGACCTCTGGTGGCCACCTTGTTAGTTCATTTGCTCAAATTATTCACTGATTTAAAAAAAAAGACTCAGGGACGGGTTCTGGGCATGTTGTGGGGAAGCAGAATTGAATGAGGCAGGAGCTCCCTGCAGGGGCTCACAGGCTACCAGGGAGACCATTCCAGAAGAGGTGAAAAGTCTGAGAAGTAGAAGCACAGAGGCCATGAGATCACAGGAGGAAAGAAATAACGTTAAGCCCACACAATATTTATAAGGCACCTACAATATATATGATCTCATTTAATGTTTCTAACCTCCTTCATGGTACTTATGATTAGCATTCCACTCGCTAAATAAATGTGGAGGCCCAGAGGTGTTCAGCTTGGGAGTGGAGCTGGGATTCCAACTCAGGTCTCCTGACTTTTGGCTGCACCTGGCTGGGCCCGAGGGAGAGGCCCGGAGGCAGGGGCACAGGATCTGATGGGTGAGGAGGAGGAAACCAGAGACACAGGAAGTGTGTTCCTGGAAGAAGGGCCTGGGGTTTATGAGCAGGCGTGGAGGGTGTGAGGAATGGAGGGAGGAAGGGAGAAGCCTGCGAAGAAAGGCCCCGGAGGAGGCAGGGGCTGGGTTGTGAGGGGGCTGGCGGCCCTGCGAGGAAGTCCACGGGTTGTCTAGCAATCGGAAGCCATGAGGGCTTCCCAAGGAGAGTGAGAGGATTCTATTTGGGTTTTTTTTTTTAAGATTTTTATTTATTTATTAGAGAGAGAGAGAACACACACAAGCAGGGCAGGGAGGAGAAGCAGGGAGCCCGACACAGGGCTCGATCCCAGGACCTCAGGATCATGACCTGAGCCAAAGGCAGACCCTTAACCAGCTAAGCCACCCAGGCGCCCCCTTATTTTGGTTTGTAAGGCGGGTTATGCTTCAGTGGGAGGATGGGTTGAGGGGTCGACCTGGAGCTGGACACTATTGCCAAAGCCAACGTGATGCTGATCTGAGCCAGGTGTGAGGATCGGTGGTGGAGCCTGGCAGCCCAGAGGTGGGCTTCTGGGTGTGGTGACAGATTGCTGCAAGAGGAGTATGAAGTTAGGGCAACCCATGCTCCTGGCTGAAGACAAAGAGGCAGTCGTGCTAGCTCTGAAAGGGAACCCAGTTGGAGGAGCAGATTTGGGGAAGAGGTGGTGAGGTTATTTATTTATTCGTTTATTCAGTGAATAAATATTGAGTGCTGACCATGTGCTAAGAACTATTCCAGGTGCTGGGGACATGGCAGGGAACCAAACACAAGTCTTGCACATGCTCCCTGTTGGGGGAGGCTGACCACAAGTAAAATAAGGGAAGCATTTGGTCCATCAGGTGGATAAGGCTATTATGGAGAAAAGTCCCACTGGAAAGGAGAATCGGGAACATGGCTGTGGTGGGGTAGGAATTGTAGTTTTCAATAAGGTGCTCAGAGATGGTTTCACTGAAGAGATGATGGACTGAAAGAGGTATGGAAATGGCAGGTGCAAAGGCCCTGAGGCTGGAGCACATATGGGGTTTCAGGGAACACAAGGAGGCCAAGGAGCCGGAGTAGAGTGAGAAAGGGCTAGAGATGGAGATAGAGAGGTAGAGGGTCTGGGGTAGGGGCACATAGAGCTTTGAAGGTCAATTGGGGCCTTTACTGTGAATGATGAAGAAGCCACTGGGGGGTTTTGAACAGAGCAGTGATATGATCTGACATGTTTTAAAAGGATCACTGGAGGTGCTGTGTTGACCACAGATTGCAGGGAAAACAAGGAGAGCTTGATCCTGATAATGCCAACATCAAAGGTGAGTGGAGAATGAGAATTCTATAAGGACGCTAAGGAGAAGCAGCTGAGAAGGACGAAGACCTGAGAGGGAGGAGTCAAGAAGCCAAGGCAGGCAGAAGTTTGCAAAGGAAGGAGCCATTGGCAGAGTCAAGTGCTTCCAAGAAGTCAGGTAAGAGGACTGAGAAGTGTCCCCTGGCTGAAGCCATGGGTCCCTGGAAACTTGGTAAGGGCAGTTTGTGCAGATGGGTAGGGACGGAAGCCAGACCACCGTAGGTTGAGAGCACCACTTAATCCCCCCAAGCCCCGGGTCTGTATATTGATCCTAGAGTTGAGAGACCTTGGGAGGAAAGGAGGAAGGCACATTATGAGGAACTCGGAGAGCCTCTGGTCTCCCCACTCACTTAAGCAGAGGGGTGGACCAAGTAGCAGTCCAAGGCCACAGGGCTCTGTGGTGCGGGAGCACGGCCTGGAGTACAGGTCTCCTGGCCCCCAAGTGTACCAGCATAAGGTTACTGCCACCACAAATGAACCCCCAAGTTGAGGGGTCAACACAATAACCATTTATTTCTTGCTTAACCTTGGTTAAGCAATTAACCAGTGGTTAACCGATGGTTAATTTCTTGTAATAATCTGACGCAGATGTCTGGTTAACTGGCATCTGTCTTCCACGAGGAGATTCAGAAGCACGGGTTCCCTCCATCTTGTGACTCCTTAACCATTTTTGTTCTGCATTCCTTTAAGAAGCTACTGAAAGCTACTAGAAAAAACTGCACACGTGCCCATCCACACAAAATTTTGCACACTTTCAAGAGGCTCATAGGCCCCATGAATCTATCAACAGAATCCCTAGGGGTCCACAGACCCAGGTGAAAACCCCTGTGTGGGTCCTTAGAGACCTCCCTGTCAGTTGGTAGGTGGGGACGAGAGTGTGAAATAGGCCCACCTACTTTTTAAAAAATTTTTTAGAAAGAGAGTGTGTAAGCACCAGGTGAAGAGCAGAGAGACAGGGAGAAAGAGAAGCTCAAGCAGACTCCCCACTGAGTGAGGAACCCGCCATGGGGCTCGATCTCATGACCCTGAGACCATGACCTGAGCCAAAATCAAGAGCCGGATGCTTAGCCGACCGAGCCACCCAGGCGCCCCCCACCTACTTCTATAAAGCTCTGGCTTCCATTCAGTTCACTGGCCAAAATGACCTGACCCAGCCGATGGTGCCAGGGGAGGCTGGGAGATGTAGTTACGGGGACAGTGACACTGTGGGGAGGTCCGCTGTGGTCAGCGGACAGCTCGGCCCAGCTCTGACACGGTGTGCCCAACGATTACAGTGCTTCTCACAGAGATATTTTTAGGGTTTCATCCTCCCATGGACCATTTACTCCCTACCTTCCAACCATGCTCATGTTATTCTTTCCCCTCCAAGTTCTGCCCAATTTCTCAGAGCCCCGCTGAGGGTCCGTCTCCTCCAGGATGCTGTCTCTGGCCCCTTTGAGCTCATAATGCCCACCCTTCATTTAGTCTTGTTCTGTGACAGCTTCTTTCTGTTAGCATATAATGAAATGGGTCTGATTTTTTTTTTTTTTTTTTTTAAGATTTTATTTCAGACAGAGTTAGCGAGAGAGAGCGTGAGCAGGGAGGAGAGGGAGAAGCAGGCTCTCCACTGAGCAGGGAGCCCGACCTGGGGCTCGATCCCAGGACCCTGAGATCATGACCTGAGTTGAAGGCAGACGCTTAACCGCTTAACTGACTGAACCACTCAGGTGCCCTGGGTCTGATTTTATGTCCCACTGGATTGCGTCTTCCACAGACCCCCAGCGTGTCTGCTCCGTCGTCCTGTGCTCCTGCCACACAGCCCTCAGCATCCCTTCCAGGGTGGCCAGTGCATGTCCACTTATTCACGGCAGACTCAGGACTGCAGGGCTGATGAGGAAATGCAGGCTCTGAGAGTAGAGGAAGTGGCCCGGACTCCGGACTGTGGCGCAGCTTGACCTTGGCTCCGAGTCTTCAACTCCAAAGCTGAGGCCCATTCTGCCCCGGGGACGACGCGGTACCTCTGGCAGCACAGAGACAGGTCCTGGCTTGATGCCACTGGCGGCTGTGGGGGCTGTGAGCAGCCACAGGCCCCTCAGCACGGAGCAGAGTTGGTGCTCTGCAGATGTGGGTGTGCGTGGGTTTATGAGCCGAGGTAAGAGAAGCTTCTTTGCACCCCCCCGGCCCCAACAATGATTTTTTCCTCTTCCCTCGATAGCCAACCAGGCCCCTAATATCATGGGGAGATTTAGGCACGAGAAAGACAGCAGAGTGAAAGGGGGCACAGCCTGTCGCCTGGCTGCATACACCCCTGAGCCCCTGGATGCAGTCGTGGCTGAACTGAGGTAGCCCCACACTCCAGGGGACCGAGGCCAGTCCCACTCAGCCAAGTGTGGGCAGCCACTCTCTCTCCGCTTCTGCCCTGGCTGATGGGGGCTCCCACATTCTGAATTCATTATTCAGCTGCAGACACCAAGCCACTTTAGCTTTCTTAATTAATTAAAATATCACACAAGAATCATTCTCTGATTTAACATTCAGGAGGCCCTGGCAAAGGCTGGGAACGAGGAAATTCATTAGAGGGGACAGTTCACTCTCGACTGATTTGTGCATTCTTATTAATTTTTCCTGTGTCATCCAGCCCTGGGGGAGAGGGGAGGGCAATGTTTTTTCAAGATATAGGGTTAATTTTACCACAAAATCTGAAGGAAAAAAATCCATTTTGACTAAAAATCAGACTTTTTTGGGAAAGGGGTACATTTGGGATTGAACACTGGCTTTCAAATGATCTCCTTTAAGGCCAGTTATAACTCAGTTGACAACAGAAGACTGAGATTCAGGCTGCTCACCCCCTGCAGCATCAGGTCTAACCTCCTCTGATGGCATTTAGGGGTGTGGCCTAAAACCGCTCTCCCCCACCCACCACTACAGCTCCTGGCAACCACCACAGGTCATGACTCCCCTTCACAAGCTACCCTGCACCTCTCCTTCCCTGCTCCTTTCGCATGCTGTTTCCCTAGCCCAGAATCCCCCCTACCCACTCCAATCCCCAGTTCAGATGCCTCCTCTTCCAGGAAGTCTTCTCAGATTTCCCCCTGCTCTGATCACCTTGTGCTGCCTGGCAGGACTGCAACCTCATCCCACTCCTCCCCACTTGAGTCTCACCCTCCTTTGTATTGATTTCTAAACCCTTCTGGCCTCCCTGTGCATGTGGGAAATGACAGAGGGCACAGTTCTCTGAGTCAGTGAAATACTGGGATGTGTATCCGGTGGGAGACACAAGTTCTGAGGGAGTTAGAAGGATCAGGCCAGCAGGAGGCAATAAGGACTGGTTAAAAATTGTGAGTCAGGTGTCCAGGTGGGGCTGTGACCAGAACCCAGGTGTGAGGGGGGAAGGAGCATTTGGGCTGAAGTAGCTGAGGTGGGCAAGAAAAGGGCAAGATGTGTCAGGGGTGCTGGAGACATATTGGTGGACCCTGCTCCCACCCATAGCAGTGTTCCAGGGACAGAGAGACCATGAAGACTGTCTTTAAAAACATTTATTTTCAGATGCAGGGGTCATGTGACATCATCACATTTATGACAATAGGGCAGAAAACACAGGCTTTGGGGCACCATGTTTCTGAAGGGCAAAAACCAGAGCACAGTGCTCTCAGCCCCTGGAGAGGTCTGGGGTTCCCCTGGTTGAAAAGTCATGAGGTTGGAACAATTCTGTTTTTCTGCCTTTTTGGTTTTGGTGAAAATTTTGGAGAGCGTTCATGATTATTATTATTATTTTGCACATCCTTACCCTGCGAACCCAGCCTCCTGTGGTTTCGATGTTCAGCTCTGGCACCCAAGCGCTCCATCTGCCCTGCTCTCTGCGTCTAGACCCAGCTCTCCAACTGTGACTGGGCACATGTGAGGTGGGTCAAGTGATTTTTGCTGAATGTGCCTATCAGCAGATGCCGGATTGTTCTAGTACCTTCTCCAGGATAACATCCGCCGTAACATCCCTGCTTCTCCTGACAGTTTCACTAAGTGCCTTACCAAGCAAGTCTTCTCCTAACTATTCACACCCCAGAAGACTTAGCTGCAGACCCTGGATACAGAAACCCCCGTGGTAGGGCAGCGGGCAGAGTGGGGAGGGCATCGGGGGTGCTGAGTAGGGGGGGTGTGAGCGGGTCCCCTGCAGCCCCAACCTCCAACAGACAAGCACAGCTTCCAGTTAACCAGTTTCAGCTCTGATCTTATTCAAAGAAAGGGGACCCGATGTTTTAAAGTTTGCAAACCACCCATCTAGTTTCGTTCCCTTCTTATTCAGATGAGGAAAACTGTGGTCCGGAAGGTGAAGGGGACTTGCTCGGAGTCAGGCAGCAAGCCAGGGATGAATTCCCAAATGGACCTCATGTTTCCAGATTCCCAGGCCATGCTCCTGCCATGTAGTACATGAGGGTGATACCACCGCACTATTTCAGATATGTAATGGCCAGGCTCAAAGGCAGAAAATTTAATTCCAAAAAGGATTCCAGAATGTCATGCTCAGTGGGAGCAGCCTGGGAGTGTGCTGTAAAAGTTGAGCGGGACCTTGGTAAGATCCTCGGGGCCCATGGAACAGGCAGCACCTTCCTTTCCACAGCTAGGAGATTACCCGAGCAGCAGCGTGGGAAGGGTGCCAACCAGGGCCAGGTGCCCTGAGTTCCCGTCCTTCTCAGCGCCTCCCTCTCAGAGCCTGGTTTCTTCCTCTGCAAAGGGGGAGGGACATCTGTGTTCGCCCTGCCTGCCATCCTGGAGTTGGGAGTGACCACAGATGGAAAAGTGCTTCATGAACTTGAAGGACAAGACACAAATGAGATCCCAATTCTGACTTAAAAACAAATTTGAATCACCTAGGGGGTCTATTTTTTCACCAAATATTAAGTACTCTTCTTGAAAGAAAGAAAGAAAGAGACAGAGAGAAAGAAAAGAAAGAAAAAGAAAGAAAGAAAGAAAGAAAAAGAGAAAAGAAAAGAAAGCCTTATTCCTGGGTAAGGTCAAAACCTCTCCAAGTAAAAGGTATTCTACTACACTCTAATCCCACAGCCCAGAGAAAGAAGCCTCTGACCCCCTTTCCTCAGTTTGATGCCCAGAAGCCAGGGGTCCACTGCCCACCTGGTTAGAGAACGCTGAGCTTGCTGACAAGGGGACATCTTGATCCCCAAACACCCAGCCAAGGACTCCATCTCTTTAAGGTGGGAAAATGGCAGGGAAGGAAGAGCTATGGCCAGCTCCACAGCCTAGCATGAAGCCACGGCAACTGTTTTGGAGGGAACTTAAAAGGGATGCTAAGACTATACCTCCCCTATTTTTCCCACAGGGCCATCTTACTCTAGGATGGCAGGGCTCAACAGGACACGGGTAACCTCTAGTCCAAATGCCGCATTCCCAGGTGAGGAGACAAAGGCCCAGAGAGGGGACACACAGCAAGTCAGCAGGCAGAGGACGGCGTGGCCCTACCCCCTCCTCCTACAACACACACTGATCAGTCACAGAGAAATGAGGTAAAGACTCACGGCTGACACAGGACTTCTTTTTCCAGCCCTTTAGAATTACAAACATACCATCAGGTGACCTTCCCTGGGAGAGGTTAGGTTAAAAAAGAATTCTCACAGAGCAATTCCTTTCAAAAGTATAAAAAAGCCACATGCAGTCTGGTTTCCCAATGCTTGCCCTGCTAAAAACTACATCTGCATAGGAATCTAGTTTGCATCTAATTTGTAAAAACATACAAAAGGGGTCATCTACAAACACAGTTTCTCCAACTCTTCACAAGGAAAACGATGCATGACTTGACTCTTCCAACATCCTGTCATCAACGTTTCTAAGACCCTAGAAGGAAAGAGAGAAAAGGATGAGAGGAAAGAAGCCTGCTCTGTCACAATCAACTATGTGGTAAATGGAAGGTGGGGGAAATGATCCTTAGCCCTAAATCTTCCTGGCCAGGGGTAGTGCTGGTGAGGAGCAGAGGGGCCCTGGGGTGTCCACGAAGTTCATGTGGGACCACTGGGTGCACATTTCACAGAGGCAGCATCCAGCTTAATACAAGGAAGAACTTTCAACTACTGGAAAACCCAAAGATGGATGTCTGGTGGTAGGGAGCTCCACAACACTGGAGGTAAGCAAGCAAGAGCTGGCCAGTACTGCATGTTGTAGGGGGAACTGAAGACCTATGTGGCAATGGTCTTAAAATTCCATGATTCTTTGTGGCTCTCTTTTGAAAACTCCTCTATAACAGACTACATTCATAGCCTGGTATCATTGTGTGTGTGTGTTTTTAAATTATATATATACTTAAAAATTGTATACATATTTAAAACATGAAATATGTATACAGACACACATACATAGGTACATACATATATATGCACACAAGTGTGCAGGACAAAAGTCCTGGTACATGATATAACAACTATAAAAAGCAAAGAGTATCAGAAGGGCAACTTAAAGAACCATCTCCTACCTGCACTCCTACTTGAGGATTTCCCACCTTCTATTTCCGTGCCTGCGTCCAGGAGCTCTAACTACTTCATCCACCATGCCACTTCCTCAGCGACATCTCCCTTGCTTTCCCCACTTCTAAGCCACTTCTCTCGCCTCAAACTCGCACACGCCCCTCGCTTCCTTAACACTGCACTTCTTGTATTTTTTTTTTTAAGATTTATTTTTGCGAGAGAGAAAACGCGTGTGAGCATGAGGGGGGGTGGGGGGCAGAGGGAGAAGCAGACTCCCCGCTGAGCAGGAAGCCTGATATGTGACTTGATCCCATGACCTTGGGATCATGACCTGAGCCGAAATCAAGAGTTGGCCACCTAACCAGCTGAGCCACCCAGGCGCCCCTGGAGCAGAATCTTTAAATGAGACTGTGTACCTGGCTCAGTGTCTCGCTCATCCCCTCCGCCACAAGAATGGACCTTCTGCACACTGGGATTGCTCCTCCAGCTGGGTCCCAGTGTGACAGGACACATGGAGCAGACACACAGCCAGCCGACCGGCCACGTGACAAGGAATGTGAGCAAGACAGAAATGTTGGTGGCTGTGCACCAGCCAGCTCTAGGGGTTGTCATGCAGCCCAAGCTGGCTAATTAAGGGGCTCGTTTCCTAGGTTCATGGCCGACCTGTGGGCAGGGGACAGATGCAACCCCAGCTCTCACCCGGGTCGGGGGGGCTATAAGGACTAAGAGCCGAGGGGCCAGGGGAGATGCAGATTCTCCCGGACACGCTGCTAAGCACGTGCGGTGCTGAGGACAGAGCGGTGAGGCCTGGAGACAGCAGAGCTGCCAACGAGGACAAACCTGGGGACAGCAAATGGAGCTCAGACTGTCTCCTTTTGAGACGGGTGCTGTCACAGTGACGTCTGCTCTCTATCTGCCCCCTCTAGGACTTGAAGGAAATATTCTGTTCAGCTTCAGAAACAGAGACAACTGGCCTTTCCTACCTGTGGACACCCACAACGTTCCAGCTCCTGTGTTTGCACGCCAGGTGGGAGGCCCGGAGTGGTACGAGTGTTGAACATACTAGAGATTCTACCTGCTAAGTGTAGTACGTTCCTAACTCCTGTTTGGTATTCCTCTGGTTTTGATTGATGCATTTTTCTTCTTTGTTACTATACATCTTATAAGCCACCTCAATCTCTTGGGACACAGGTGTATAAATATGTAATATGTACCTGACTCCATCACATGCGGTCGTCTGGAGCTGGGGGGTGGGGGGCTGTGTATTTACTCAGATCTAGAACCGTCACCGTGCCGTGGGCCTGAGCCTCCCCAACCACGTTGGCTGAAGAGCACAAGTACACTCCCTCATCTTCCTTTCTCAGAGGCTTGATCTAGAAGTAAAAATAGGCAAGTTTATGGCAAGGCAAAATCACTTCCTTATTTAGTTCCTAAGATACGTCTGAACACTTATTTTTCAAAATAAGATAGGGCTCACTATTCCTCTTCTTGCCTTGGTTGCCAAGAAAGAGTTAAATTTTCTTCTCTGTAGCCTCTCTACGGTGGCTCTCATTTTAATGTTTCCTTTGCATCCCTACCTTTTACTGTGAGCTCCCTGGTCCTTTTATTGACGGCGACAGGTACACCTCACAAGGAAAATACTGCCAGTTAAACGGACAAAAATCGACTGACCAAGGAATGGCCCACAAGTGCTCCCAATGGAGAGCCTTACAAAATAACACCAGAGAGAACATTTCCCCCTACGCCTTCTTGTAATCAAGAGGGGTAGGTGCTTGATTTGAAAAAGCCACACGGACCCGGCTGCATTCCGAGGCTCCGAGCTGGGCGGAGAAGTCACCAACCCTGGCACAGACGGGAGTGAAGTGAGGCGGACACCGACCGGCCGTCCTCGAGCAGCCTGTCCTCACGGCCCTGCAGAGCGCACCCACACCCACACCAGCTCCCTCCTCTCTCGGCATGACGACCTCCGTCCACCGTGCAGCCTGGGCAGGGGGTATGCACACGATCTCGTCTGGAACTCACGCCGACTGCGGGCCACGGGGAGCGCCGTTACCCTGATATTACAGGAGACTGGCAGTGAATCACAGACTGTTGGGTGACAGGGCCCTCGGACCATGTGCAGTCCAAGGCCCTCCTCCTCCGACTGTGGACACTGAAGCTCAGGAGGCAGAGTGACTAGCCCAACATGGACCCCCGTCCCTCCCTCCCTCTTTCAAACACATGGCATTCCCGTGACTTAGTTAAGCTGCTGCAAGTGGCACAGCAGAGCCCCGAGGGGGGACACCAGTGTGCTGTCTTCCCTCTTTCTCAGCCCCGTGGTCTTGGGGGCGAGCGTAGTGGTCTCCTACCACTCATTACCACTTCATGGCTTAAAACAGCACACATTTATTATATTTGGTGCCTTTTAAAAAAAAACTTATCAAATATTTTATTTTTAAGCAATCTCTATGCCCAACGTGAGGCTCGAACTCACAACCCCGAGAACAAGAGTCACACGCTCTACTGACTGAGCCAGCCAGGCGCCCTTATATTTAGTTCTCGAGGTCAGAAGTCCCAGTGGGAATCAGGGGGCTAAAATGAAGCTATCAGCCCAGCTGCCTTCTTCCTAGGGGCCCCAGGGGAAAATCCATTTCTTGCCTTTCCCATTCTAGAGGCTGCCTGCATTCTTGGGCTCGTGGTCCTCTTCCTCCATCTTCAAAGCCGGAGATGGTGGCTCGTGTCTTTCCCATGCGGCCATCTCTCTGGCTCCTTCCCTCCTGCCTCCCTCTTCAGCATTTATGACTTTTTTTTTTTTTTGAGAATTTTTTTTTATTATGTTACTCACCATACATTACATCATTAGTTTTTTATGTAGTGTTCCATGATTCATTGTTTGTGCGTAACACCCAGTGCTCTATGCAGAACGTACCCTCCTTAATATCCATCACCAGGCTAACCCATCCTCCCACCCCCCTCCCCTCCAGAACCCTCAGTTTGTTTTTCAGAGTCCATCGTCTCTCATGGTTCGTCTCCCCCTCCAATTCCCCCCCCATTCTTCCCCTCCTGCTATCCTTTTTTTTTTTCTTAACATACACTGCATTATTTGTTTCAGAGGTACAGATCTGTGATTCAACAGTCTTGCACAATTCACAGCGCTCACCATAGCACATACCCTCCCCAATATCTATCACCCAGCCACCCCATCCCTCCCTCTTCAGCATTTAAAGGGCTCTTGTGATTATACTGGGCCCACCCAGATAATTCAAGATAAGTTCCTTATTAAAGTCAGCTGATGAGCACCCTTAGCTCCATCTGCAACCTTAATCCCCTCTTGCATATCCACATATCCACAGATTCCAGGGATTAGGACATGGACATCTTTCTGGGGCCATAATTCTGACCACCACTGAGGATCACTTATGCTCTCGGGGGTTAAACTTCCCTCACAGTTAGTGTAGGGTCCAACCAAAAAGGGATAAGAACAGCTTTGAAATGTGTAATGTGCTATAGAAATATAAAGCGTGCTTTGTAACAGCCAGTCAATAACAGCTACTAATCCTAAACAAATGAGATACCCACCAAAACCCAGGCTGTGGCCTCGTGGTCAGAAGGGCCCCCTTGCACCTGGACAGCGATATTGACGTGGTCCCCAGGCAGGTCCTCCAGCACCTGGGTACCCTCAGGAGACTGTGTGACCTACAGAGGACAGAACAACCAGGAATGGTTTAGAAAAAGCATCTCTGGGTAAGAACCACACCGCAGACATCCTTGCTGTCTTCATCTTCCTACTAATCAAAGGCCAAGCCCTGGCACCTCTTATTCCTATTAAAACGTCAGTGGCTTCATAAACCTAAATGTCTGTGCAGACAGCACCTCCTGCTGGACAGTAATGATGTAGACACCACCACCATCTCAGGTGGTTCAGAGTTTCCCCGCCCTTCTGGGGGCTGCGGACATAGGTGGACAACATGTGCTGTGATCCACGCCAGTCTCTCAAAAATTGATCTGCAGGAAGATCTAATTTTGGAATGGGATTTGGATAGTCTTTCTAAAACCCAGATCCCGTGAAGTAGGCTCTAACTTCGTTCCAGTGGATCCAGGCTAGATAAATAGATGAACTTTCGGGGCGCCTGGGTGGCTCAGTCATTCAGCGTCTGCCTTCGGCTCAGGTCATGATCCCAGGCTCCTGGGATCGAGCCCCGCATCGGGCTCCCTGCTCCGCAGGAAGCCTGCTTCTCCCTCTCCCACTCCCCCTGCTTATGTTCCCTCTCTAGCTGTCTCTCTCCCTGTCAAGTAAATAAATAAAATCTTTAAATAGATGACCTTTCTGGACAGCTAAGTGGCTGAGGGAGCAAATGGCACAAGGAAGGATGGTGACTCCCCTGCTCTGGGCAGAGCTTTGGGGTAAAAGTTTTGAGGCATAAACCTGAAGGAAGAAGAGTGACTTGTAAGATCTCTTTTTAAAACCCTTTGCGCCACATATAACACACACATAAACACACAAGAAACACCTCTCTCTCACACACACGCACGCGCACGGAATTCTTGGACGTAAATACCTTCCTCCACGTGACGACAGGGGTGGGCACAGCCCTCACCTCACAGGACAGGTTCACCTGGGCCCCGGGGACGTTGTGAACACTCCGGGGTGGCGTGACGACCAGAGGAGCTGGAGGAGGAAGACAGGGGGTCACAACCGTTACCCTGCCAGGTCCCAAGCACCCCCCGTCTAAAATCCCCGGCCTGCAGAGAGCCTGCGGGCACGGTCCCCCGTGAGGGGGGCCGCAGCAGAGGAAAGCTCTCCACGCACAAAGAGCACACTCGGAGGCGGCGAATCATGTTTCCCTCAGACCCGGAGGGATGCCTCCATGCTTCCTCATCCATCGCCTTTGTTCTACCAACAGGCAAGCTGGGATCTGGAGGGGCGAGGCGGCTTCCGAATCGCCCGCCACGTCTGTGGCAGAGCCTGGGTCTCGTCACACTCCTGCCCAGGACCCCGGGGGCCATCTGCTTGCAGCTCAGCTCCTCGAGACACGGAGTGGCTCAGGAGGGGCTGGTGTCACCTCACCAACGCCAAGTCTTCGAACAGATGGGCTTTCCTCCTCGCACGCGGGGCGGTTCAAAGAACAGGCCCCGCAGAACAGCTGCCAGCGCACCGCCCAGACGCCCCCCTCCGCGGCCGGGCCAGACGCTCGTTTGCATATCGCAGACCTGCAGGCTCCGCGCGGCCTCCCCTCCACCCGCCCCCCCCAAGCCGGCACTGGGTCCGAGGACACCGGAGAGAGGGGTCGCTTCCGGGATGGCCGTCCCCAGGCAGGGCGGCTCGAGGCTGCCAGCACATTACAGAAAGGCGAGGGAGGGTGTGGGCTGGCTGGGACGGCGACCTTGCAGGCGTCTGAGTTAGAAGTGCTTAGCTGACACCCCACACCGCCCTCCTCCCGGTGCCCCCCACTTGCTCTGCTCACGCTGGCGCTCCAAGAATCAAGTCCGGCCACCTCGGCGTTCGGGCCCTCCACCCGGTCCCTCAGTGGACCTGCCTGCACCGCATGGAAGGCACCCCCCCCCCAACCCCACAGGGGATGCTCCTCCTCCTGCAGGACCTGGAGGGTTAGGGTATGTGTCCTAGTCCAGGACCAGGGCGTCTGCGCCCGTGTGAGCTGCTGGAGGACAGCTTGCTGGCAGTCTGGGTGTGCCCGCCGGCCTCCGCCGGACCAGACGGCAGCAGGGCCCGTCCCTGCATCTAGTCCAGCAGTGTCTTGGACAAGATGCAGTGGGGAGGCCTCGGGGCAGGGGGATCCTCCCTGCTTGGGTTTGCTCATCTGTAAGATGGGGATAATAACCCCTGCTTGCTGGGCTGTTGAGCTGATCTTACCATGTGATGAGTGTGAGCGCAATGGTTTAAGTTAACAGGACATGTAAGTGGGCCCCAGAAGCATGTCTGCTAAACAGATGACTAGATGAAGAAACACATGACAAATAAGGAGCAAACACATTCCTTCTCCAGCCATCAAACTGCAGGGTCTACGCTCTTGGGACTTTGCTGTGTGACTCATGGATGGCCCTGGAGAGGGAAGGGGCCTTTGCCTGCCTCGGTCCAGCTGCAATAAAAAAAAAGAGAGCAAAGGGAGGGAGGGAGAAGGCTGCAGGAGGAGGGATAGGGACAGGAGTGAAAGGGCACAGAAATAAGACTGGTCTGGCCCCTCCAGACAGACCTTGTCAAGCTGGTGCCAAAAAAGATCTCTGGAAAATTGTCTTAGAACCACAGAGTCTCAAACCGGAGGGGCCCAACTCCCCAAGATCCTGTGCCTGACCATCTGATGTGTTCAGCTAGCATCCACTTGCATGCCTCCACTGACAGAGAGCTTACTACCTACAGAGCCAGGCCTTTCCATCCTAGGAGAGCTCTGCTAGTAAGGAAGCTTGTCTTCCTTCATCTGGAGCTAAAACCTACCTCCCTGTAACCCCCACATGTTGATCCCAGGGCCACCTCACTGGAGCCCTACGGCCCCCTGGGTGCCCCATTGGCCTCCACTGAATACAGACACTATGCTCCCTACCCCCAGGCTGCTCTCTTCCCCCTCAGCCTGATCAGCCCACTCCTTCAGTTGTGCCCATTTGACTGCCCCCCAAGCACATGGCTCCACATACCCACAACACTGAGTGTAGCCAAAGCCCTCTACTGAACCAAGGTCCTAAGGCTTCTAACATTGCCCAAAGCATCCCCGCCACCTGCAAACTGCCACAAAGAACCACAACACCCCTGCTCTCCAGCAGGGGCCCCATCTGCAACATGACAAAGAGTCTAATTTATCCACACCCTCCCGCCAACATCCACTCCCCCGGGCCCAACAGTCCTCAAATGGCTCGCTGGGGGAACAATCAGAACCGTATCTTATTCCAAAGCCCTCAATGGATTCCAGAGGGACACTCGATCAACATGTTTTACTTTCATTCATGTAAAGTCATAAATTTTAAATGAGATTTCATCAATCCCTTTCAGGCCTAAATGAATAAACCAGTAAATCACATTTCAACATTCTCTCTGCTAGAATTTCCCTCTCCCTCTTTTAAAGACTGTCTTGGAAATGCTGTCTTTGCTACTGATCTTGTGGCAGAAAATATTACTTCTTTGACAAAAGAGCCCCCAGCTTTCGATGACAAAGTAACATTCAAATTTTTATTTATTTTAAAATTGACATACAGCACATTTACTCCTTGTGGAGTGCAGCTCTTGAGTTTTGACCAACGCCTACGGTCATGTAACCACTGCCACAACCAAGATCTAGAAGAGTCCAGTTCATCTCAAAAAATTTCTTCATGCTTCTCTTTGTCAGAGTAATCTGGTTTTAATGTTAACATATCCACTTTTAAATTTAAAATATTTTTATCCATAATAGCTCTTCATAATCAGCCATCATCATCATCACGGTAATAATGGTAATAAATGCCACCACCTAATTCTGAGAGCTCGCTGTGTGCTAGGCGCTCTAGTCTGCTCACAGGGATTAACCCATTCCATCTTTCCAGCAATTTCACCAGCGGTGCAGCTAGGCAGGGTTACTCGGGTTTAGATGGTTGGGCAAGGCTTTGAGCCCAGGCTCTGGCTCTGAGCTTTGTTTGTCCCAAAGAGTCTTGCTTTCTACTTAGATGACAATTCCATGTACACTGCTCCTTTCGTCCTTATACCTACCCTGCTAAGCAGGTGCTTTTATCCCCATTTTACAGACGAGAAAACCAAGGCTCGGAAAGGTGAAGTGCCTGGAGGAGCAGGGACTCAAACCCAGGGACCCTGATTCCATCAACACTTCACTGAGTTTTAAAGTGAAATATTTGTTGTCTGTATGGACTCCATTCCAGAACAAGAAAGAATTCTTTAGGGACTGTGTTGGGGAGTCCCAAGACAATCCCCAGGTTCAGTGATTTGCTAGGAGGACTCATAGGCCTCAGCAGTTTGACTCACAGCTGTGATTTATTACAGTGACAGGAGACAAAGCAAACAGCAAAGGGAAAAGCGGCTCATGGGGTAAAGACAGGGAAAACCAGGCGCGAACTTCCACACGCCTCTCCCAGTGGATCACACGGGACACCCTGAATCCAATCCGAGGGAGGCTCACTGGAGACTTCGAGCCCGGGATTTTTGTTGGGGGCAGGTCACCTGGGCCCCCTCTGCTCAGCACGTACCAAAATTCCAGGGTCCCGGAAGGAAAGCAGGCGTGCAGCATAAACCGTGGTGTTGGCCCAAACAGCTCAGGCCAAGAGTCACTCTTATCACTGAGGGGACGGTGGGAACTGTCCCCAAATCCAAGTTCCCAGACACCAGCCAAGGGTCAATCTGGCCAGCAGGCCCTTCTAAGGACAGAGTCTCAGGCCTGCTCTGTTTACTCTTCTACACAGGAAAAAACCCTCCAAACATCACCCCCCAAGGAGCAGTTCTCCTGAAGACACTATTAAATGGGTGATACATTGTTTATACTTGCAGGACATTCCCAATCCTACTGTCCCCAAGGGCTCATTTGAATGTGGTGCTGGGGTACTCAACGTCATGACTACCATGGGCAGGACGGACCCAGGTTCAAATCCTGTCTCTGCCACACCAATGCTGTGACGCGGTCTGAGTTTCTTCTTCTTTAAAATGGGCAGGGGCATCTGTTCTTTTTCCTCACCCCTCCTCTCCCCTCCCCTCTCCATAGGCTATTGGGAGGAAGAGCTACAAGACCCCTTGCAACACTCACACGTGTTATCACCAGGCACTGCTGGGGGATTCAGGGTGTCCCGTGTGATCCGTTGGGAGAGGCGCGTGGAAGTTCGCGCCTGGTTTTCCCTGTCTTTACCCCATGAGCTGCTTTTCCCTTTGCTGTTTGCTTTGTCTGCTGTCACTGTAATAAATCACAGCTGTGAGTCAAACAGCTCTTCCAGTTTTACAGTTTGCAAGGGGTTTATAGACCCTTGCAAACTGTAAAACAGAGCAAGACCCCTTGCAAACTAAAAAATCACAGCTGAGTCAAACTCTCTCTCCCACAGAGAGACCCGAGGACCTGGCAGGCTGTGCTACCCCACGGGGAATCTCCTGGAAGTGCCCGGCCTGCTCCAGAGCCCCTACTGGCCTCCGAGGAGCAGGCCTCCGGGTGGGCCCTGCCCGGAGGCTCCAGAGGCCACGCCCACAGCCCTCATTCTGGCGAGCCCGGGCACAGCCTCTCGCCTCACTACTGCCCGAACTGCCACACTTTCTTTTCTACCTGCGTGTGACAAGAGCAACGTGGATTTCAAGAGGGAGGATGGTGCCTGATGGGCCCAGTCTGTGGTCTCTCTAGCTCTTCCTTGCTAAATACTTTGCTTCCTTCTGTCCATGCCAGCAACAGCTCGAGAAAAGTTGGGAGGGCACTGATCCACCCAGCAGGTAACAGAACCGTCACCCACATGTGCACCCACAGAGGTAGCGCTGGGGTCCCGGTGCCAACCACGGGAGCCTGGGCAAGCTGTTAACCATTTCCTCCTGGTCTGCAAATGAAGACAGTGACTGCTGAGGATGAATGTGACTGAATTACTGACCGTGCGGGTCTGTACGAGTGGGAGGGGCCGGCAGCATTATTATAGTGTGCGGTGATCTGTCCCCAACCCCCCCCGCAAAACACACCGTCAACTAGATATGTCCTTGACGCCCAGAATGAAAGATCTTCCCAAATGCCTCTGAGGTTTCTTTCAAGTTAATGTACCCAGGAAAGAAAGAATATCAAAAGTCATCCCCCAGGACCCCATCTGCTTATACAAAGAAGTGCACAACCAAAGAGTTTAATCACCAACGCATTGAGCAGCCCTGATAATTTATGCTAATAGTCATGTTCCGATGTGGAAGGAGAAACAGCTTAATCCGGCTCCCTGCACCCGTGCCTCACAGCCCCTCCCTCGGCATGAAAGGCTTTTGAGCACGAGGCCCCCCCCTTCTTTGTCCCTTTCACAAAGTGGCGCTTGCAGCCTCTCCTGGTTACCTGGTAACATGCGCCTCGCACAGACTGCGGTGGAGCTGGAATGTCAACGGAGGGAGGTGAATTTTCTAAGATTCAGGATCTCAAGAGCTCACTGAAGCTTTGTGGGGGCCCGGGGCCCTGGTGGGTATTGGCCCGGGACCCTGTTCCTACCTAATCTAGCATTCAAAACATGCTCTCAACCTGCTGCCTGCAGGATCCCAGCCCCCTCCCCATGTTAGCCACCGGTCAGGGGGCACGCACAGAACACAGCCTTTTAAAATAATGACAGCAGCAACAAGAACGCCATGCCACCTTACAGCAAAGAAAAGAAACCAATAACTTAGTACCGAGCGAAGCTGCATCCCTCAGCCTGGCGCTCGAGGCTGGCCACGGCCCTGCCCCAACCATCCCCCTGGGGAGCTGCCCAGCAGCCCGGGGTCACACCCACCCCAGGATCTCCCCTACCTGCTCTTACCTCCCCATCCCCCTTTCCCCTCAAGAATTTTCTACAAGTCCTTAAAGGTTCCGCTCAGATATTTTCCCTTCTGTGAAGCCATCCCCGTTCCTCTCAGGAGCCGTCCCCCAGTGCCAAGCAGGGGGGCCAGCAACAAGCCTTGGGGGGAAAGCAGGAAGGTGGATCTGGACGGGGAAACCCTCAGGATTCAAGGCTGGCCAGTTTGCAGCCTCTTCCTAATCAGGTGGCCATCGGGCTAGAGGTGCATGGCTCCGTCTAAAAAGGGCCAGGCAAACCCAGGCTGGGGCCCCACCTCAGCTAGGAGCTAGGCACGCAGCTCCAGGGAATTCCCTTCTGTGTGCCTCAGTTTTCCCTTCTGTTAAATCGGAGTGAGATCTGGCCAGGGTAGTTGTGAAAATTGAGTAAGAAGATGGGATGCAAGGGCGATTTCCAACAGTAAAGAATGATTCATACGTGGAAACAGGGCGAGTCTTCATTCAATGTGTTAATCAAAGGATTGCCCTCATTATTAGGCGTTTGGGGGGAATTTCAGAGCATAGGAAAAGGTCAGAATTTAAGCCTGAAAATGGTTGCAGAGAACACTTCCCACCCTGTGTGGAACCTGATATTTACGGAGGTCTCATTCAGTCTAAGTCAGGTGCTCGCTTACTTAAGGGTAGGTGAGAGTCGGCGAAGGGTGATTTTATTAACAATATTGAAGCAGAACAGCTGCTGCTAGGACTCAGCCGTTTCCCTCCCACCAGGGTCCCTGGGGGCATTGTTAAAAAGTACCCCTGCTTCATCCTCTAAATAAAGGATGGCTTTGGGGCAGCAGAGAATGAGGTGCCACCTGGGCTAGGAAAGATGCCCCTGTCCACACCTCCGTGCTTCACCAGGACACCAGCGCAGGGGCCACCCAAACATTTCAGGACACAAAGACGGGACCACAGTGCCCACGGCTGCTGCAGATGACACAATTGTGGGTGGGGAAGGAGAGCTGAATCGTAGGGAGGCCTGCTGCCTGTCACTAACAGGATCATTAAAAGCAGTTTCTGACTTTCCTTCCTTTTGGCCCCTTGAACATCTTTACTCATGGGGCCTGTGCCTGGGGTGGGCCTCAGAGCCCATAGATCAGAGTGGAGGGGCTGTCACGTTTACTTGTCATTTGGTAATTTTCAATGAATTAGGGGTATGGGGTTGCCATCTGCCATCTGGCCGCACTCTGGTAACCATGGCAACCACCACCTGCCTGACTTAACACTCTCAAGTCCTGTCCTGAAAGAGCACTACAGAGGGCGTCGGGGTCCTGGGTGCTGGTCAGGCTTTACTGATCACCCTGCCTGTGTCCCCTGCCCCCCTGGGTCTCAGTCTCCTCTGCACAATGGCAGATTTAGTCCACGTGTCTTCAAGGTGGCTCGGTCTTAGGAACAGAATATCACTCCAGGGAGAAATCATCTGAGACTATCCACACCGGTTAGATTCTGGGGACTTGGTCAGCATTTCTTGGCGTCTCCAGCGTGTGGAGTGTAAGTGTGACTTGTCTGGAGACAAAGAGAACTGCCTGTGAATTAACTGCTAAAGAAAGCAGATTGTAAAAAGGAGTGATAGGAACCAGAAGGAAGGAGGCAGGACTGTTGAAATGCCACAGGGCAGAAACAAAAGTTCAAAATGGAAGGGACCTCAGCTGTGGCTCCACAGGGCTGACGGGGCCCAGAGAAGGGCAGGGACCTGCCCAAGGTCACTCAGGGGACCCGTAGCAGCTTGGGAAGCACCCACCAGCTCTTTCCTCCATTGGAAGCCCCAGCCAGGAATAGCCAACGGTGACCTTCCCATGCTCTGGGGCTGCTTCAGCCCCCTCAATGGGCAGCACATTGGTTTCATGTTGCCCGGGACAGGAGCCTTCCTGCCCCATCCCCAACAACCCGCTCGGTCTGCTGCACGTACGTGGAATGCTTGGGGGGAAATAATACGAGAAATTACCCAAGGCCTGGAAAAGGTTGTCCCCCACCCCAAGGCTTCCCTGTTGGAGCTAAATTCATTACACCGATGTAGGCATTTAGCTCTAGACTTGGGTCTCCAGGCCTAGGCCAGAACCCCAAGCCAGGTCTTTGGAACTTGCTGGCCACAAGCTCACTCACCCTCAACTCTCCACTGCTCCCTCCAGGCAGTGTGGATGGGGGCAGCTCTCCAAAACCTAATGGGCCATCAGGGTGCTCCGCTGGCCATCCCCTACCAATGTTTTTGGTCTGTTTTTGTTTGAGTTTTAAAAATTACACAAAGAGGTGGGCAAACATGGCATCCAAACATGACGTTCCTGGGATGTTAATGAACCTTAAGTTTCTAGGTACCGAGCAATGAATACATTTCCATTCCTTTACCTGCTGAATCATATGAGCCTTAGACCCGCAAAACCCAGGTCTGGCCCTGATGGCACCATCATCTTTTCAGAACTTAGGTCCTCAAATGTCTTACCTGTCCTGGGTGGGAGATCCCTCTCCTGGGTGGGAATCCCAGCAGGTTCCCAACCCTGGGGTTCTCGCCCAGTGATTCCTGAGTCCCTGTCTGGAGCTCCTCCTCCTCCAGCATCTTCACCTTCCCTCCCTCTCCATTCAAAAACCCCACCTGGCCTGGCCAGCTGCTGGTCCCAGGGGACTTACACTCAGTAGGACACCCCACCCCCCCACTCCCAACTCCCAGTCTGGTGGAGGCCTACATGGCAGGCCTGCACGTAACTGAAGGCCTTTTGGTAGTTAAGTACCAAAAGAGATAGTAGGCTCACCAAAATTCTGACCAGCTCAAGGGCTTGTATCTCCACGAGCTTGGTAAGGAAGGGTGGAGGATGTGGATTTCTGTCCCAGTCTCCTTGAGTACCTGGCCAGGTAAGAAAAACTGCTTCCGAAGGGAAACTGAGGCTGTCGATCACGGTGCATGCAGGGATCCTCTGCCCCACATTCCAGAGGGCTGGGGTCCCTCTTGCTCCTCCTGCCCCAGCCCCGCGGGGCAGAAGCCGGACTCACCAAATTCGCAGGGGCCATCGCGCGCCTTGTGCAGGTGGCCAGGGTGCGGGCGGGGCGCGTGCCGGACGCGCAGGCGCAGCGCGCAGATGCTGGGGTAGGAGCGGCCGTCGGAGCCGCAGACGGCGCCGCGCTGCGCGCACACACAGAGCCCGGTGCCCTCGGGCGCCGCCCCCGCGGCGCGGCTGGCGCACACCAGGCCGGGCCCGCAGCGCGCGCCCGCCCGCCCCCCGCAGCTCGCGCCCTCGGCGCCCAGGCAGCGCACGCAGCAGCCGCACTCGTCGCGCGCCGCGACCCGGGGCGCGGGGCAGCGCGCGGGCGCCGGGCAGCGCTCCGGCCGGCACGGACCGCACTCGGGGCGCCGGCCGCCGGTGGCGCGGAGCCCGAGGCCTGGGGCCAGCGGCGGCGGCAGCAGGAGCAGCAGCAGCGGGAAGAGCGAGGGTGAGCGTGGCATGGTCTGCTTCGGGACGGCAGCGGCGCCTCTGCTTCGCGCTGGCTTCGCGCGCGCCGCGCCGCCACCCCGCCCGCCTCTCGGCCGCTGATTGGCCGAGCCTCCGCCGCGGGGCGCCGCAGCCGGCTGCCGGGGTCCGGGAGCCGCGCGGCGGGGTGGGCTCCCGGCCGCCCCGGTTCCGAGCTGGAGGGATGTCCCGAGACCTGCTCTCCTAGACCCAGTGGGCTCTCGGGGAAACAGACCCACTCGGGGCGGGAACTTGCCCGAGGTCGCTGTGGTAGCGCCGAGACGGGCTGTACGGTGTTGAGATCCAAGGCTAGCTCCAAATATTATGTGCCTTGATCCTCCCAGAAGGATGCGCTTCGTAATTTTATTTTGCGTTTAGTAGTTTTCAAAGTTTTATTTTAAAAAGAGAATATATGGTTTAAAATTTCAGAGGTTACAAATGGATGTAATGATGAAAAGAGTTTCCCTTCCACCCTGTGACCCAGTGTCCCAACCCAGCCTCAAGAGGCCGCTCATTATCAGTCTTGTGTCTTTGCAGAAATTTTGTATGTCCATTAAAGCATGTATGATTGTATAGCTCCTCCCTTTAAACACACACACACACACACACACACGGTGGTGTGTCCTGCACATTACTCGGCACTTGGTTTTTCCATTTATGGTATTTCCTATAGTTTCCCTACCTCTTATCATTTCTGAAATCGGACTTGTACAAACAATGGAACATTGTTTAATTGTTTTTCTCCCCTGAATGCTACTGAAGCCATGGTTTATTTCTCAGTCAAAACTGACTTTGGTTGTGATGAGATCTGGCGATCTATTTTGGATTGGCCTCAGACTTTTAAACTTTGCACAGCGTTTAATTGCAGAAAAACTGCAATCATTTAGCCAGTTGTTTTGAGTCCTTTTGTTAGTACAAGTAGCGCTGTGATGAATGTCCTGACGCACATCTGCGGTTAGTGGGGAGTGGGTGTTGGAAAGACATGGTAGCATGTAGTCAGTTATTTATGCATGTGGCCCCTGCCAGCAATCAGGCTCTGTGTATCCTATCCCTGGCCCAGCCCTGGCAGGGGACCCACACGGGAACCTCCAGGGGTTCCTGATTGCTGGAGTTGGATGTGTGGCCAAGTGAAGGCATGGGATGGGAGGGACTTGCTGACCCAGCTGTATGGATGGCTTTTCCTGCTCACCCCTTAACTCTCATTTGCCCTGGGGAGTTTTCTTCCTTTTCTGATTCCTTTTTTTTTTTTTTTTTTAAAGATTTTATTTATTTATTCATGAGAGACAGAGAGAGAGAGAGGCAGAGGGAGAAGCAGGCTCCCAAGGAGCAGGGAGCCCGATGCGGGACTCGATCCCAGGACGCTGGGATCATGACCTGAGCCGAAGGCAGACGCTTAACCATCTGAGCCACCCAGGCGCCCCCTTTTCTGATTCCTTAGAGATGGAGAAGCTTCTTGGATTGGTGTCCATTTCCTTTAACGGAAGTAGCCCAATGAACTCTGGTTCCCAGAGTGCCAGTTAACACCGTGGGCAACATCTGTCGGCCCCTTAAGATTATAGGGGGAAAAAAAAAGATGAGTTCTCCTGGCAGGGAAGGGGGATGAGGCACCTCTGTTGTCTGATAGGTAGTGAGTTCCCATGATGTTCTACCTCCTCTGCTCACTGCTGGCACACATGGGAGGCTAGCTTATACAGCACTTAGGGTGGGCGCATGCACTCAGCAGCTGTTGAAGTGGGTAAATGTCCCAGTCTGAGGAGGTAAGGTGAGGAGAGGTTTCTCCATAAACGCGCCAGAGTCTTGAATCTCAAGCTTAAAAGTCAGGCCATTCATAGAAGGCCCTAATCCAGTCTGAGAGAAAACAAAATCCCTGACTCCAGGTCTCTGGTGGAACGTTCCAGAGTGGAGAGAGGGGTGGGTTTTCATGCATGAGGGGTGGTAGTTATGGAGGGACAGATTTCAATTAAATACTGCATAAGAGGGAACATTGCAAGATACGGAGCTCTGTAAAGATGGAAATTTAGATGCTGAGCAGCCAAGATATGATAGAAGCTTTACCCTCTTGCTGTAAACAACTATAAAACCCACACAAATTAATACAACAACCGTGTGTAGGTACTGGATTTGGAATGGGGATATTTGGGTGGACTCAGGTGAAGCAGATGAAGTTGAGAATCTTGAGCCTCTGAGTTATTCTGAGCTTCCCCCACCCCCAGTGGAAGCAGTTTACAGATTATGTCTGAGAGGATTCACTTTCCCTTGTTTAAGGACCCTGCTAAGGGCTGTTCCCTTGCAAGGCATACCTTTTCTCTTCAAGACCCACCCCACCTGCCTCTTATCGCCACTGGACTCACAACCGGCCTTAGAGTTCCATATACTTGAGCAGGGCAAGTACAAAGTCTAATCTGAGAAAATATAGCTTCTATACCACGAGAATGTCAAGATTTTGCTAAATTACATTGCAGCAGCTTGGGGATTACGTGCAAGAATGGATTCTAAGGATGGAAGACCAAAGAGAACAGAATATAACTTTTTATTGAGTTGATATGAGTGTACTTACCTGAGATTCGTGTGTTGGTTTTCAATGTGTTGGTTTGCGTAGCTGGAAGTGCCTGCACTTTACTTAGCTGTTTAAGTGAAACTGAGGCTTAATGATTATCCGCATTTAGTTAATTCCAGATGCCAGTACTTCCCTAGTGTGTTGCAAAGGAAGAAATAAAAAAGCTTAGGAGTAGGGGCGCTTGGGTGGCTCAGTTGTTAAGCGTCTGCCTTCGGCTCAGGTCATGATCCCAAGGTCCTGGGATCGAGCCCCACGTCGGGCTCCCTGCTCAACGGGGAGCCTGCTTTTCCCCCTGCTTGTGCTCTCTCTCTCTCTCTGCCAAATAAATAAATAAATTCTAAAAAAAGGCTTAGGGGAGATGTTGAAATAGATTTATTATGGACAGCCTGCACAGCCAACCACCCACTACATTCCCCACGGGGGTCCAGAGGCCATCTCCTTCCCTGTGACACTGGGAACTTCATTAGCGAGGGGAGCACTGCTATCCCTGAAAAGCTCTGTGGGTGCTCTCCCGTGTTGGCCACATACGATGATGAGAGCTGCCCCCATTGAAAGGAGCGCCCTGAGTCCTCTGGGGATGGTGAGATTGCAGAAGACCAGAGGCCAAGTGGTAGCACTTAGCTGCCAAAGATGTAGCAGGGTGTAGTTACCATGACAGACAGTAGGATGGAGTGTACCTCCTAGTTTTGACTCACAGGGGTCTTTGGCATTGTCTGGTTGTCCTAATGTCCCTAGGAATGAAATAGTGAGCATCCTACTAAAATGTTACTTGCTGTGTACAATGGAGAAAAACTCCAGGTCTGGTGTCCAAAAGTTGATTTGAATCACCAGGTTCTCTTATCCAATTTTCAGACTTAATTAGGAGAGGCCAGGTCCCCTTAAAGAAGGATGTTAAACAGATTCTATAAATCCTCCTCTAAGGCCTTCCCAGAAGGACCTCTGACCCTTTACTAGAGTGGCTCACTGTAGCCCACAGTTAAAGGGGGGCTTGCAGCGCTCAGGGCCCACGATCAGATCACAGTAAACCATGGGGCCCCTGGGTGGCGCCGTCAGTTAAGCATCTGACTCTTGATTTCAGCTCAGGTCATGATCTTGGGGTTGTGAGATCGAGTCCCGTGTCAGGCTCCACATTTAGCAGGGAGTCAGCTTGGGATTCTCTCTGTCCCTCTCCCTCTGCCCTTCCCCCTGCTCTCTCTCTCTGTCAAATAAATAAATAAATCTTTATCAAAAAATTCGCAGTGAATATACACATTTGGCAACTGGCAGAATCCCAACATCAGTTCGGTGACACATGGAGGAAGGGCTATTGTAAGAGGCAGGGTCACGTGGAAGCCCCTGGAACTTTCCTTTTTTACCAGGAGAGTTATCAGCTGCCATCAGTTTCCTCATAAATAATTGAAAGAGCAGTCACCTTGCCGTGGAGACGATTCATTTTCTTAGAAGGCAGCCTAGCCTAGTTTCACTTGAGGAAAGCATTTGCCTCCCTTTAACATGCCCTTGGCTCTACTCCTTTCCAAGTAACAGTGTGTCATTATTGTGCCAAGGAGTATATGGTCTCTTCCTGAGCTGGTGTCAACATAAACGTGTACAGCTGACCCTCAAACAACACAGATTTCAGCTGTGCAGATCCACCTATATGCAGATTTCTTTTTTAAAAAAAGATTTTATTTATTTGAGAGAGAGAGAGTGTGAGAGAGAGCACAAGCAGGGGGAGAGGCAGAGGGAGAAGCAGGCTTCCTGCAGAGCAGGGAGCCCGATGCGGGGCTCGATCCCAGGACCCCGAGATCATGACCTGAGCTGAAGGCAGATGCTTAACCGACTGAGCCACCCAGCCGCCCTGCAGATTTCTCTTATAGTACAGTCCCATAAATGTGTTTTCCTTGTGATTTTTCTTAATAACATTTTTTTTTTTCTCTAGCTTACTTTATTGTAAGAATTCGGTATTCAATACATAGGACATATAAAATATGTACGGTCAACTGCATTATCGGTAAGGCTTCTGATCAACAGCATGCTATTAGCAGTTACGTTTCGGGGAGTCAAAAGTTATGTGCAGATTTTCAGCGATGCAGATGGTCAGTGCTACCCCCTTCCACATTGTTCAAGGGTCAACTGTAGTTGTTTTTTTTCTTATTCTCAGGTGTCTCTCTGTTGGAGGGGAGATGGTTCTCTGTTCAGCTTGCTCCATCACGTCCCTAATTTGTAGATTCATTGATTCATTCTTCATTCAGCAAAGCTCTCGGAGGGCCTGATACTGCTTACCAGGCCTGTGCAGGGCACCAGGGGGTTAGATGAGTAAGCCAGGCGCTGTGTGCACAAGAGGGTGGCCTCAGGAAGGCAGATTGGAAGCAATTTCAGTGCAATAAACGTGACTACAGAAAAGTGCTGGGGGAAAAGAGTCCACCTTCTGAAAAAGTGCTCTCTAAACTGATCTTTGAG